AAGACCAAACCAAAGATCGTCAGTGAAACACATAAAATTACAACCTAGTAATATACACTGAATTCCATTGCTCAATGTTTCCACAATGTTTATCGCATGAAGGCACAGATCTTCTCCGTTCAATATTTACTCACACAAATCCCACGAGGAACATATCTAACATGTGAAATCTTTATAAAGGGTTTAGCTTTTCTACCGACCTTGTGTACAGAGAGTTTTATATAATGAATTTTTACATGTAGTATCTTACCATTTAGTGGCCTTTATTTCTTTTGGCGCTTGTTTTTCAGGAGGCTCATAATCAGAGTCCTCAGAGCCGTCAGACAATGACAAGTCATCTGCTTGTTGAGGAGTCTCCATCGATTTTTTTCCCTTACTTTCATCCATAATGAAACTGTGGAGAGTTCCTTCAGCTTCTAACTGACACTCAACTTCTCTAGCACTTTTGATAGTTTTACCATCGGGATTTCGGTATTTGAAGTGAACTGTTGAGCCAGATTTTGTTTGCCGTTCTTCAATTGTCCATCCTGCGTTTCTCAACTTTTCAAAATCTAAACGGATTCTTGCTTTCGAACCATAACCTCGGGCTTTGTGAGCCTTTTCCGATGCTTTTTTCTGCTTATAGACGCTTTCGTTTTAGGCATTGCGGAATCTTCGAAATATGTTTTCCTCCTCTGCACAATACAGTGTACCTTCGTAGCTACATGGGGTTTCGGGCCGTGATTGCTTAATCGATTTCTCTTCAATTTGCGAATGATTTTTTGATGTAAATGGCCTCCAAATTTTGAGGAGAGCTTTGCCAGTTGTAACTTCTTTGTGTGATTTTGACAGAAAGACTTGAAACTTGGAGGATATGAACTAAACTTATCTACGAATAGTTCCTTGGCAGCAGGTCAGTTCTTCTCAGATATATGAATGGTGGTGGCTCCACAAAATTCACGGACTAGAGATATCAGATTTAGCGGCTTAAAATATTCTGGTATCTATTAATTTTGGCGCACTGCCAAAGCAATGTAGAAAATATTGATGGGCATCGTTTGGCCAAAGGTTATGCCCAATGGATAAATTTTACTCAAGATTTTTAGGAAAGTTTGATGTGACATGGCTACGGCCACGCCCACATATACGTCAAATTCCAGAAATACTTTACATTCTTTCTGAGAAAAAACAATTTTGTCAGAAGGTACTTGAAATGATTATTCAATGGTGTTAATATGGCAGACTTTGAGTAAATATATCTTAGAAAATTCCTACAAAAGATATCAAACAAAAATGCTTAAAATAGCCTCCAGGAATACCTTAAACTGACTCACTTCGTGACGGGATTCCAGAGTCTAATTAGACTGTAAAAAACCTTTAAGACGAGAAGCTATCCATTCCGACACGTGTAAAACTAACTTAAAACGATTCCTACATCGAGCTGCTCAAATTGCAATGTCAATCAATGTAATCACATTTGATAGAAAGTGTAATATTAAACTGTTGAAATCAATAACAAAATGTCACGCGAAATGTCACGCAAAACACTGTTCTTCATTGAAACAATACTTTTGAAAAACTGTTTGGTTCTCAGAACAAATCTATACAACATCTGTACACAAGGATCTCAACATATTTTCAGACCAAATGAAGGGTATTGCTTATTCAACTTATCTTTCAGGAAAATGAGTGGAAAATTTATATACCGATACTTCGAAGAATTTAATCCTCATGGATACAGCTGTCAAACTACTGAAAGATGCTACAGCTACAACATGCACTATGGTAAAAAGAGAACTTAATTTCTTGTAATCATGAAATGTAACATTAATCATACCTCTATTATGAAAAAAATTCTAAAACAAACTAAAATGTCTTCTTTCAGACTTCTGCAGAAGTTAAAGCCCTTGCGTGTAGTATGACCACAACCCTAGACTTGCACCAGAATGTAAGTTATTCATGACTCTAACAGTACTTTATCAAAGCATTTACTACCATCAGATAATGAACAACCAAACAATTCAGGCAATATTAGTAGAATTACAGGAAATAGGATAGGTATATACACAAAATACAATTCAATACTCATTATCATCCCAAGAAAGAGAGGAGATTCCATCCCAAAAAAGAGGGGAGATTCACAGCTCAATGTTTCTTGTACAGCAATGTCAACCTACTAACCAACCAAACTAAATTTCTGAAGCAATCGAGTGGTTAGTACAGAACGGCTTTCATAGAAGGCATCAAATTAATTCTCGAATCACCATTAAGGAAAATAATGCTAAGATTTCGTAGTAATTCTATTCAACATTGCTACACAACTGTAATTCTTGGATGTATTTGGAAGACTTAACTTCCTTTTAGTTAATTCCTTGTAGCTGTGTCTAATAGATAAAACTAGCCATTCTATATCATCCAAAAAAATAGCCTAATTTAACTGTGAAAACGATGTGATTACATGTAACCAAAAACTCTTATAGGTATCTCTCAATTATACATCTAGGTCACCACAAATATCAGTTCTTCTTTGAGAGAACACAAGCTGTTGTAGGAACAGGTAAACATACTTCACTTTGTCTCCTTTTAAATTATTCAAGTTCCACTTATTAACTTGTGAACTACAATAATACTAACTAATAAATAGTTAAAAGATAAGGTCTGCATCAGTTATAGTAAATGAAAACATTTTCAACCAAAATGATAATAGAGCTTGGTTAAAATCTTTTACATTGTAGATTGCTGTCCCAAGGAGAAATCCAGATACAATTCAGGTATTGTAAAATTATGTTGTATGCAGAGTCTTATTAATACCTGAATTCATTAGCTTCAACCACTAGTGGAAACTAAATGACGAACAAATAGCATGACCTGAAAGACAAAATCAATACTGTGTTATCTGAA